TAGGTGTTGAAGCATGGTATGAAGAGAAACAGGGGAGATTTATAGTTGTCTTGATTGGGCAAACTTTAGAAAATTATCCCATTTATATTTATAAAGGAGGTTAGTAGATGGCTTCCTAGCTTTGTCTAGAACCTCCTTGATCGATGGATGATCCTCCAAGCTGTCAAATACAGTGACTGTAGGTCTGGATGGAGGATGTTGCCTGAGTCTTGGGTGAGAAGGTGTGGAATGAGTAGTAGCTTGAACACATCCACGGCCATCGTCTTGAGAATGGAAAACCATGGCTGGTGAGATCACCATGGTGCAATGAAGACTGCATCTGTTCTCAGCTGACGAGCTCTGACCAGGGTCCTCTGTATGAGCGGTATTGGAGGGAAAAGGTAAAGAAAGCCTGATTCCCATGGAATCATGAAAGCATCCCCAAGTGAATTCACACCTCTTCCCGCAGAAGAGGCATACCGCCTGCACTTCCTGTTGGTCTGAGTTGCAAACATGTCCATTATGGGATATCCCCAACGTTTGCAGAGCATGAGGAAGATCTCTTTGTCCAATTCCCACTCATGGGTCTGTACTGTCAGACAGCTCAGTCTGTCTACCAGCTCGTTGTCCGTAGCTGAAATGTGAAGGGCTACTGGGAAAACATGATGGTCGTAGCACCACTCCCATAGATGTATTGAGAGGTACAGAAGAGAGCATGTCCCTCCCTGCTTGTTGATGTAAAGCATGGTCGTGGTGTTGTCTGTGATCACTTGTACACCACAACCTTGTATCAGAGGAAGGAATGCACAGAAAGCTTTTATAAACGCCAGCATCTCCAGATGATTGATGTGTAGATATCTGTCATGATGGGACCATAGAGCATTTATCCTGTGGGGTCCACAGTGTGTTCCCTAACCTATGGGACTGGCATCTGTTGTCACTTGAATTGAGAGCTGCAACCGTCGAAACGGGCAGCCGACCAGAAGATGTGGCAGAAACATCCAGCACTATAGTTGCTTTGTTAGTTCTGATGTGACAGGCAAGTGTTTTCTTGGACTGTCCTGAAGGGGGTCAAAGAGAGTCAGAAACCACGCCTCAAGAGAGTGCATCTTCAGACGTGTGTGTGTCACTGCAGATGTTGTGGAGGCCATGAGGCCAAGCAGATGCTGAACATGACTTGCTGAGACCTTGGAGTGCGGTTGAAATCTGCGAACAGCTCTGCGGAGCTTCAGTATGTGGTCCGGTGGTAGGAATATTCAAGCTCTGATGGAGTCCAGACTTGCTCCTATATAGTCGACCATCTGGGATGGTATCAGATGGGACTTCTTCTCGTTTACTGCAAGATTGAGGTCTTTCAGAGTGTGTAGAACAAACTTGGTGTCTTGAATTGCCTTTCGTTTGGATGGAGATACTACCAGTCAGTCGTCTATATATGGATAGACCTGTATGCCGTGTAGACGAAGAAAGGCCGCTACTGGAGCCATGCACTTTGTGAAAGTGCGAGGAGCTGTGGGTAGTCCGAAGGGAAGAGCACAAAATTGGTCAACGGTGTTTTGAAAAATGAAGCGAAGATATTTCCTGTGATGTGGATGAATTGATATATAAAAATAGGCATCCTATGACCACAAGCCAATCTTTTCATTTTAGGAGATGAAGAATGGATTCTAACGTGACCATCCGAAAACGCCATGGATGCAGGTAAGTGTTTAGCTTTCTTAAGTCCAAAATGGGCCTGATCCCGCCGTCCTTTTTTGGTACTGCAAAGTACCGGGAGTAAAAGCCGTACAGTATGTCCCATGGTGATACTCATTGAATAGTTTGTTTTTGAAGAAGAGTGAGAATCTCTTCTTCTAGAGCAGGGTTGAAAGATGTAAGCTTGATTTGTCCTAGAGGAGGAAATTCTGCAAACTCCAGATGGTAGCCGAATTGAATGATACTTAAGACCCAAGATTCTTTTGTGATGTGGGCCCAGTTGTGAAAAAATAGAGTTAGTCGAGTGGGATGCCAGGGTTCGAATAGCCTTGTGTATGAGTCAAAGGTAGTGCTTTGATTTCTTGGCAGGTGGCCTGTATGATTGGCAGCATTGTGAAGAAGTTTGTGGGCAGAAGGTGGAAGCAGAAGAAGAGGCTTGAGAAGATCTAGTCCGGTTCTGATTTTTGAAGGGACTGTAAGATTGAGAGGCTGATATTGCTGGTGTGGGTATTGTTTACGCCACTGATATCTGTTGTATTTAGGCTGTTGTTGAATCGTATAGGATTTAGCAGTCTTTTTAATTTTGTGTAAATTTTCTTTCATTTGGGTAAATGTTCTTTCACTGAAGAAGCCTTTAGCATCAAAAGGTAAGTCTTCTATATGTGTCTTGACGTCTTCTATAGTTCCTGAGGATCTAAGCCATGCGTGCCATTTCAAAGTGATGGCTGATGTCAGTGTTTTTGAAGCTACATCTGCTGAATGGCGGGAGGTGTTTAGAAACAGTAAGAGCTTCAGCGTAAGTATTTAGGAAACTTTGTCTAGTGTCATCTAGAGCTGCTTGAAGGGACAGAAGAATCCTTGATCGAAGCTGCCTCTGGTAAGCCCCCATGGCTGCTTGGTAATTTGCTACCCTAAGCAAAAAGGTGGTGAAAGAGTATATTTTCCTACCCAGTACATCCAATTTTCATCCCTCTCTATTCTTAGGGGTGACGTGAGACTTCCCAGATGATTTAGATGAGCTTGACTGAATGATCATGGAATTGGGAGCCGGGTGCTTGACAAGAAAATTAGTGTCATCCTTGTGGGTACTATACAGTTTTTCAGTTCTGCGAACTATAGGTGAAGATGTAGATGGTTGATTCCAAGATTCCTTGATAAGCTCCATCAAGGTTGGAATGAACGCCAGGCTCAATGGAGGAGTTCTTTCCTGATTAATGTCTCCAAATATAAGGTCTTCTGTAGGAGGTAGAGGTTGCTCAGTTTGCAGCTTTAGTGTCTTGGTCATCCTAGATATCATCTGAATGTATGAGGAGAAATCCTCTGAGGGTGAGGATGGGTGAGGGTCACTAGCATCTGATTCAAAGGTTTCCCCTTCTACAGGTGTTTCACCTGAGGCCTCAGAAAACACTTAATCATCCTTATCTGAAGCGGCAGACAAAAGTATATCTTTCTGATCTGAAGTGGAAGGTAAATGCAAAGATTTCTTTAATTTTCATTTCTTACTGTCCATTCCAGATATCTGATCTATGTGAGTTGAATGAGTCTTTGACTGTGTAGCTTTTGACATCAACTATGTAGTTTTGGCACAATCAGATGTGTCCTTTGTCCTATCTTGATGTTTGGAAACTCAACAGTTGTCAACGTAGAGATGTTGTCGACATCGAAGTTGAGGTGGCGACGAGGACAGGGAGGAAGATGAAGAAGCATACACATACCGTATCTTCTTCTTCCTACGGTATTCGTCGTTGCTCGAAGACGATTCGGTGTCCGAGTTGTGTCGACGTCGACAACGGGACTTCTTATGATCAACCTCAATGTAAATGGGGTCATCGTATTTCAACTTATGTCGACACCGAGACGATCAAGGTAGACTCACAACCTCACATCGAGAAGATGGGCGCCGATCCGGAAATAGATGTTTTGTCTTTGCTGTTCATTTTCAAGGTGGAGAAATCAGCCTCGAAGAAGCTGACGGCAATGAAGGTTCAGGTGATGCCCACCCGGTAGAAACAGGGCTATGATGGGCAGAAGCTGGGCTAGAAACAATAACGTCTTCTAGCTAGCTAGGGCTCGGAGAGCGGTCGGGTCCGGTAGGTGAAGTGTCAAGCTGCCATGGAGGAAGAGAAGTGGCAGCTTCGGAAAGAGATTCCTGGTCCCGGGATGAATCCTTCAAAATCAGTGATAGCAGCAACGCCAAAACTGGAAGAATCTGTTTCCGATGATCCTTAGTTTTGTCTTTCTTGTCTTTAGACTATGACTTTTTCTGTTTCAGGGGATCCTTCGAAGACGAGCTCGAAGTAGTCCTTGATGTTGACGTAGGTGGTTTCTTCATGGTTGACGTAGATGATTTTTTTGGTGATTTTGTTGACAGGTTTTGACATCGACAATGGTGGTGGGGAGGCAATCTGCACTTTAGATCATGGGGTAGCCGATGGTGTCGGTGTCATTTCCTTCTCGGACGGCCTCAACGCAGAGAATGTTTTGTCCCACAGAAAAAGTTTCAAACGTTGCTGCCGAGGTTTTAGGGTGGCTTTAGTGAACTTTTTACAATGTCTGCAGGAATGTGGTTGATGGGACTCTGCTAGACAAAAAAGGCAGGGTTCGTGACCATCCAAGAATGGCAGTTTTCACGAACACGACATGCACCTACTGAAGGGTCCGGAGGGGGACATAAAGTAGAAAGGAGAATAAGGGGTAGTATGACTCACAATTAATTGGGTGGCAAAAGTCCAGAATTGTCCAGGCCTTTGAGGAAATGTCAAGGAAATAGTATGAAGAAGCAGCAGTAGCGGTAAGCCAGAAAGAGGCGGGAAAGTGAAACAATGGGAAAAAAATCAATCCAAATCGCAAAGCGAAGAATAGTCGAGCAGTCCGTAATCAAGGGGCAACAGAGAGATCGAATAATTAAAGGGAGTCCGTATCAGAAGCCGTAATCCAATAAATATAATCGAAATAGAGAGCTCTAAGACCGAGAAGTTCAAAGCATTAAGGCGGTAAAATGGAACTGAAGGCTGAGGCAGGTGCAGCATGCGCAATAGGGGCAACTCTAAACTTTGTTACTTTTCTACAAAAGCTCTAGAAGATTCCGAGACTAGCGCAGTTGCTGTCAAAACCCACTTGTGTGCATTCACAGAGGCCACGAAGAAGAATCGACTGTTTATGCTTTGTAGTTATGTTTTAGGGGCCATAAAAATATACATAAATGTTGGAACTACATGGGGGTTCAGCGCTCCTAACTCCAGCATTGTTGAAGGGAGAAGCGTATAAGTATGACTGAGAAAAATATTTAAATGCACAGAATATACTGCATCATTGTAGAGTTTTCTCACCTAGAGAAGCATACGATCCTGGAGGTAGACCTGCCGTTGCTAAGCGGCCAGCTCCTGCCGTTTGACCAATAGCATGACGTGCCTTTGCACCTGCAGCAGCATTAACATCAATGTCACTGCGAGACCTCTGAAGTGTCCCTGGACTTGGAGCAGTCTTGATAGTCCCTGCAACTGAATGTAAAGGTTGTTATAATTAATACACTGAAGTATTATATATAGTTTACTTCTTACACTTGCAAATGAAAAAGCCATCAAAACAATCAATTTGGGCCAACTTTTTTAAAAAAAGGAAGATGCCATCTTTACACCTTCCTGACTAAGCCTTCTTTAGTATATACACAGCAATGAAAACATTTACCTCTTCCAGCCATACTTGAACTTGACGAGGACCATTTTGATGAGAAAGGACGACTGAAACAAAGGTAATAACAGCCACTTTACTAATGCATATTATTATGTGTGTCACAACATAGTGAAGTATTCCCTTTCTGCTTTACTTTACTGCTCCACTATTATATGAAGGTTATGGCTGTCTAGTGAGTTATCAGTACTCTTTATATGTTGATATCATTCTGCTGTCACTATAATAGCTTGCAAGTTTTCAAACAGTCTGTACAGTTTTCTGAGTTGTTCATTCTTCTTCACTATTTCACAGAACCAAGGCCTCTATCTAGGAACTGTAAGGTCATGTAAGATGTATTTATACAAGACTAGTTATGCTAGCATGTAATACATTAAAATGTGGAGCCCATTAAAAATAATGCAACATGGATAACCAACATTTGTATTCAAGTAAGCATTTAATACATACTCATGGTTCAGCAAATTTCATGCATATAAAATATGCTTCTTTGTACAGATCTCCTTATCTAGATCAAGATGAAGACATTTTCTTCTAAAGTGATGCTTACTTGAGACTTTCCTGTGAGCTGGAGGATGACCTGTCTGACTGTGGAAGTGATGTGATGCTACCAGAATTCTTTAAGTAGGTCTGGAGACTTCTCTGATAGGACGGTTCCAGACTGTTATAGAGTGCTTCTGCTTCACCTGGAAAATGGTTTCTTAGACCTAAATAAGTCCTGCCAACAAATCACATAATATTTATTACAGGTAATGTTGTCACTCAGGCATTTTTAGAAAAGCAAATAATAATCCATCAACGCTAGAAAAAAAGGAATATACAAAATTTAGTAATCAGTTAAGATATGTCATATCCCCAAAAGGAATGGTCCAAAAACATAAAAAACGAAGACATACTGTAGAATAAATTAATTTTCTCCTGTTAAAAGGAATATACAATTTCAAGACTAATTTAACGATAGTTGAATCTTACTTTCTTGCCTCTACTCTTGCCTCAGCATCTGCATCATGAATGCCCTTTTTGATTGTTTCAACCAAGACTGCTGCATGCCTATAAAAGAAAACACAAGACTGATGTTATAAGTAATATTATTTTGTACTCATTAACATTTCTTCTGGCTTTGTACAGACACAGCCAAAGTAGGCTTTATTTTCTTCTTGCTTAATCAGTAAGCAATTATGTCTCTGAATTCTGAATATTTTCATTCCCGGTTGATCCCTATTTCTGAACTGCGGACAGAATTAGAGAGGGAAAATATGCATTTCAAAATTATCTAAGAAAATCTGATAAAAAGGAGTCAGATGAACAACCCTTATTGACTGGCTGCACACCTGAAGTTACAACAAATGCACAGGAAGTCACATGAAGGAGAGTGGTTCTTGGACTACAACTCCCAGAAATCCTGGCCAGCACAGCTAGTGATGAAGGCTTCTGGGAGTTTTCACTGAAGAACATCTGGGGAACCAAGGCTGGGAACCACTGCACCAGAAGTCTGATTATTGAGTTTTAGATAAATTCTGATCCATTTCTAAATCCTAACCTTTCCTAATAGTATAAACACCTTGACAGGAAATACAGAACATTAAACACAATATGTTAAGGTTTTAGGTTTATAGGAAAAATAAGTTACTAATCAGAATCTGATTTGATGGTTCATTCAATAGGAACATGCTTTGAGGGGGAAAAAACCTTTAACGTAATATATGGAAAACTGTAAAGTTAGACTTGTGTTATAATTATCTAAGGATAGCTTAGCAGAATAATCCTGAAATTGGCCAAAGGCTCTGCAAAAATAATCCTGCAGGGCCTCTGGATGTTGCAGAAGTGCTGCTCCACTGGCAGTACAGTATAGCATTTCTGTCCCAGACACCCCTAGAATGCTCATGAAACATTCAACTAACATATGCAGTATCAAGCAATGTTTTTACTGATCAGAGGGCTTGAATCGGTTTTCTGTAGGCATCAAGTAGAGTCTTTGATTCAAAGTACAGTACCCCAACATGCACATAAGTAGCTGAAATAAAATCAGTGCTTCTGCCCAGAGAGCCTGTTACACTGTAATTAAAGCTGGAAACTAGAAATACAGCAGATAGCACCATATACCGGTAATTCAACATGCCTGACTCTACAACTTGCATTTGAGGTTGTTCACTTATTATGTTTAAAAAGAACTTAAGGTTCTTCCACCAAGCCTTAAATATACCTTTTCATTTTATAAACTGGTGGAATGAATTTATTTATTACGGTTTGGTGACCAGCTCATAAAACATATTATGTGGCTAAAGTATACAAAATGCAGTTTAAAAAGTGTACAAAACTAATGGAAATAGTTCTGAATTGTCTGCTTAAAAACTATTTATCAGATCCATCTGCTACAGGTAATTTAAAGGAAAAATATACATACCTTTCCAAAGAGTGAGTTTGCCACTCTTGCAACAACAAGTCTAGAAATTCAAATGAGCGCCTGGAAAAGACAAAAACGAAAGTAAAATTTAAATCTGTGAATGATCACAGCATGTCAGTACTCTGAATAACTTTTGATTACTGAAAGTCCAAGAATTTGTGACTCACATCAAGCAAACTATTTATACAGCTTAATGGGCATAATAAAAAAAAAAACTACTTCAAGCAGACCTACTGTAATTTTAAAAAGACTTTCATTCTCTATCACAAAAAACTTTTTCTCTGGACTTCCAAATGTATTTTCTACGAATGTGTGGAAAGTATTTAGGAAACATTAAGTTCAAAGTTATTTCAGAGGATACAAGCTAACTCCCTCCAATGACCACATCTGTGTCTGAATCAAAACAGTAATTATAACTCAGGGAAAAGAAGGCAAATAATGATGTACTCCTGGAGAAAACCTCCTTCCTTGTCTCTTTGCCAGCAACCAAAGTTCATAGAAAGTGCAAGTGTAGTAAAAACTCATGCAGTGGTGCCTCGCAAGATGAACGCCTCGCGGAATGAGAAACCCAGCAAGTGTAGTAAAAACTCATGCAGTGGTGCCTCACAAGATGAACGCCTTGCGGGATGAGAAACCCGCAAGACGAATCATTTTTGCGATCACTGTGGTGCCTTGCAAGACGATTTCTTCTATGGCCATGCTTCGCAATATTATTTTTTTTCATGACTGATGCCTTGCCATGCTTCACAAGATGATTTTTTTTTTCATGACCGATGCCTCGCAAGAGGAAAAAAATTAATTCATCTTGCGAGGTTCCCATAGGAATGCATTGCAATGCATTCCTATGGGAATCCACTTTTTGCAAGACGAAAATTTTGCAAGACAGTGCTGCTCGCACAACGAATTACATTCGTCTTGTGAGTCACCACTGTACTTGTGAAAGAGAAAGAAAGCCCAAGACTGCTAATTGGCTTCAAATTGTTCACACTGTCACTGAATAAAGAAATTGGGAGACATATTTCTACGGCCCACACAGACAAATCCAATCCTTAAACCCCACACTGCTGTCTGAGACTATGATAAGATGTGGTACAAGTGCATGTGGCCCTCAAATATGGTCCAACCAGGCCAAGGCACCAAATCTAAATGGACACAGTGCCTCCATGGAAACTATTTTAAGAATTAGTTCAAACTTCATTGACATTTCTTTTAGTGGATTAAATCTAATATTAGTACCACCTACAAAAGATTTACTGAAATCAATGGGTACTAAGTTACTTGTTCCTTATAAGTCCCATTCATTTCAGTGAATCTCCTCTAGCAAGGGCTAATATTTAGATTTGGCCCATTGCGTGCAGGATTGAAACTACAAGGTATTATTATCTAATAAACTTGCCTTACAAAGAAAACTATAATGTTATTGAAAATGGAAAGGAATATAAAATGCCATAGCAAGTCAAATGGGCATATCAACTCTTGATAAATGTGCTGTCTATTACATTAAGTTTATTAATTACTTAATGTAATAAATTCTACTTGGTAAACATCACTAAAGATTCTGTTCCAATTTTGTATGTGACCGTTCATTCTAGTCTTAATTCTTCCAAGGCAACTGCCTTCTCTCCTTGCATATATGAACAGCAAGAATGAAACCGGCTACACTTCTGATGTTTCCATTCTAATGTATTTAAGTACATTTTTCACTTTTAATCAAAATATTTGCCTTGATATATAGCCACACTTCTTTCAGATCTTTATGTCCCTTTATACCACATTACTACAGCCTGAAGTAGTCAGAGTTTAAAAAGCATCAAATATGGCTTCAGTAAAAATTCAACATGATAAACCATTAGAAAAATATAGAAAGTAGGTCCGTTTAAAAAAAAAATTAACATGCAGGGTTTCCAATGGAATCCTATTCATGTTCACTAAGAAGCAAGTACTTCTGGGTTCAGTTTGTATAAGACTATAGCCTTAATTTTTGTGATCAAAGCCTTATTCAGGATTTTTAAAGCATATATTGAGCAGTATTCAAGGGCACAAGTGTGCTAGTGCCACCTACTCCAAATGAAGAGAGGAGCATACTTTGACAGACTCCCTATGTTGGCATTTAGCTGAAGACTAACTGAGCTGAAGAGAGAAGTTGTTTTACTCAGGCAGGCTCTCTCTTTGCAATCCAGCATACAGAAAAATCAGGATTTTGGCTGCTACAGAGAGATTCTACAAGTAGGAACCTCTCTTCTTTAGACTTTTCATTTTTAATCTGACTGAAATGTTTACAGATTGTAGCAGAGTGAACACACTCCCCTCAAGGACAAATAAGAATGACTAAACTGAATCTAACCCTATTGAATACAATATCTCTTTTGCAGCATTAAATAACTTCGTAACACTTTGAGCAAACTCTATGAAACAACGGGACATAAGCTAATTAGATCTAGTCTAAGTATGAATAAATTGAGAGTCAACCCAATGTATACTACCAAATAAATGCTTACCTCCTGACTGCAACAGATTTTGAGGTACAATTGCTGGTTATTAAAGGTATGAGTCGGGGCACATGGGTATGCTGAAAAGAGAACATTTCTTTAAGATTAACCACAAAGCATTCAATATTCATAAAAGTACAGTGGTACTTCTCAGATGTACATTATAGCAATATACAAAATTACAAAAATACTCTCTTCCTATAGGTTAACTGCCTCACTTCATTTGTCAGGAATACTTAAGAGTAGGAGCTCTGTAGATCTTAAAGTCTGACAAGGAATGCATGGCAGATAGAAGCCTTTTTGGATACAGTAGTTTGTTTTCAAGCCATACACGTCTACAAAGGCTAAAACCAGCATTTTACATTTATATATTGTATTTAAATTTACATCTGAACTATTATGAAAGAGAGGCTTCAAGATGGGTGAAGTGTAAAGAAGCTAAATTTAAATACTAATCAATCATAGTGTGCAAAACAGGATGCTCACTTGTAACATTTGCTTTTCAAGTGGTCACCTGTACTTTCATATGAATGCACCTGCACAAAGCCACAATTCAGAACCTTCTAGATAGAGAAATGATTTTGACAATAGTTCTACCCTTCCTATCTACAAAGCACATATTAGTGAACTGCTTGCTCTCTAGTTCAAAATTCGGACAAGACAGAAGCAAAGCAACAGTTGATTAAAAGTGATAAAGAAGGAAAGGTAGGTGATGTAATTGCATGGCTGACCAAGTGGTTAGTAATCTGTTTTTCTTCTTCACAGTCTGTGCATTTCCACATATATAGTGATGGAGCAGTGAGCTCACCTGGATGAAACTCTTGAAGGCAGAAGAGTACTCTCCTGAGTTTACTCAAGCACAGCTAAAATAAAAGCTTTTCCAATTCATGATTTGATACTGGTACAGTAGTGCTGCACAAAGGTCAGGAACAAGTTTTTGGATTTAGCATCCTGGAGCTTATTTAACATCTACTATATGAAGAAAATTTTGTTGTCCTACTGTTGTAGATGAAATAAGACAACTGGAAGAACAATATACTTTAAGATGTGGAAATCCAAGAATACCTCTGTTGGAAAAGAGAGCTGTAGCAGAACCATGACTTTGTCTGAGTACCAATGTAAGTTAGATCAATCTACCTGCAATGCTCAAAGTTCTCTTGCATGGCATACTGCAGTAATGGCCACAAGGAAGGCTACTTTGGTTGTTCATAGGCATAAGGAAGCAGAAACCCACAGCTCAAAAGGCAACTTCAAGAGGAACATCTTAGAAACCCCAGGCAAGGGCTGGGAACTGGAATGCCATCCCAGGTAGGAGTATGAAAAGAGAACAATGCAGGTAAACAAACTTTAACAGAGGAGAATGACAAACCTCTATCCAACAGGGATAGCAATAACTAGAAATTGGTAAAGGTAACAGTTTTCTGGAGCAAGTACATGATTTGTAGCACAGGAACAAAAAAATCTGCCATTTATAATTGTAGGAATGGTAGATGGATGGCTTTCTTGCCATCTGAATAATTTGAATTATCCTTGATGCTTAAGCACCTTGATGCTTAAAAGCTTAAATGTGGATGTGTAGCAATGAAGAATCAACCAACCATACGGGCTGAGGAAACCATTACTGGCAATGACCGTAAAGAGGCTATGAGGATGCTATGTAGCTGCTCCTGATGGAAGTCTGAAAATGATCATAGTGAGAAGAATAGAGAGAAATATGTATAAGCCTTCCCCATGCCAGGGCAGATGGTGAACTTCCCCCTGTGAGTTGTCTGTCCCAGCTTGGCTGCAACACTACTGAAGTTTTAAATTCAATACTGAAGCAAACACATTGATTCAAAATAGTCCCCCCATCTGGAAGAGCTTGCCAAGTAGGTAAAAGTAATGTTCCCATTCCTGCATGTTTCAGTGACATTGCTGAACAGATGTGCTGGTAGTTTTTTGGCCAGCCACGTGCAACACTACAAGAAAGATACTGCAATGAATGCACCATTGCCAAAGGTTTGGGGTGCGGTCTAGCTAAGGTTTGGACCATATTGTGCCTTATTTGCTAATCTGCCACATCATAGGATACCTGGTCCACAGTCCTCTCAAGTAGTGGGAGAAATACTTTGCAGAACATGAAGACTGCAAAGAACTCCCAATGAGTGGATGTGGTGCTAGGCCTCTAATGTCCATCACCTTTGAGTTCTGTAATGGACATAGTGCCCTCCCCAACAGTGGCTGGATGCAGCAGTTGTTGTTTTTAGAAAAGAATGGAGAGGACAGAATAACATGCCCAGTTGTTATAGTAGTGGTGGTGCTAGTAAATGAGCAGGGCACGTTCACCATGATAGGAAAAGTAAGACAGAATAAGTCACTGTGAACCAAAGTTGCTTTGAGATGTGGACTGGATTACAGTACCCCAGAAACCACAATTTTAATGGTATTATTCAGTCTTTAAGTACTGCAACTGTGTGTCTGAGTAGCTTTACAGCAGAATATGGAATATTCTAGAATAATCAACATAAAATGTAGTACAACTATTACTCCCACCACTACCGCACTAATGGGGGAGAGTGGTAATAGTGTATAGTATATACCATAGCGATTACATGTTGGGCTTTTTCCCTGAGAACAAACTGAGAAAGCAAGGTTTCGGATCACTTTGCCTTCTATAAAAAGGATGTCCTTAGTGTGAGGTGGGACTTGTCCCCACTGAGGAAAAGGCCTAGCCCATGAAAAAATAGAGAGTGTGATGTCAAGATAGTACTTTTGTGGCGATCTGGCTGAAGCAACAACCAAGCAGTCACTCATATGCAGGAGCAGAATTATGCCATTTCCACAGATGTTCCACACCACCACCACCACCACGTCCACTGCTGTGGAGAGCCTGAAGGGAAGGATTCTGTATTGGTAGCCTTCACAGCCAAAGCCAAACCTGAGGTACTTGCTACATGCTGGGTGAATGGTTGTGAACCAGCTGCCTTCCTGTAGGAGGCGAGATGTTTGGGCACAGCCACCATTCAAAAGCACTTTGCAGCTCTACATCTGCTAACACTTCACAGATGTAGGGTTGATTGGAGACCCATTCCCACTGATGTGGGCCAATCAAGTGGATGTAACCTACATCTAACTCACTACTAGAGACAGAGCAGTGTGAAAGAGCAACTTCATTCTACTCTTCTCTCTGTGGAGAATGAAGCACCCTCTTTGAGGACAGAAGTAGGATAGCCACAAACAGAGCTGAAATTGTCAGTTAGGTGATGAACATTCACAGTGGTGATAGAAGAACAAAACAGGCTGAGGTACATATCACTATAATGGTTGGCACCACAACAACTGTTAGTCTCAATAACAAGTAAGTAGGGTCTAATTACAATACTGAGGTGTCCCATACTAAACATGCTGGAGGCTGGTAAAAATGTTGCTGACAGAATCCTTGCAGATGTGGTGTATACCAGTTCTACATAATAGATAGATACTATACAACAATACCAAACCAGTGATCTGATTCATTTAGGTGATTCATTTAGGTGACTGCTGGGGTGATTAACTTAGGAGTATTCAGAGGATGCTGAATACTCTTGACATTCATGATTTGAAGAGTAAAACTGGGCCTGATAGTCACGTTACCACGGACTCTCATTGTTTAGTTGCAGCCGTAATGTTATTTGGAGGCCCACCGTCAGTGGTAAGTAAAGGACCTCTGTTCTTTTCAGTAAGCCTCTTAACTAACATGCCTGGTAAGCAGTACTGATGGGCTGACCAAGTTCCCTCAACTAGATATGACGATGGCTCAGGCTGCAAGATGCCTGACAGAGTAGTCAGATAAGCACCTCTTAGATGTTGGTAGCAATTAGCATGGCATGTTTAACATTTTTAAGGCAGCTCAGAGGAATGGTGGTTCCTTTCCCTTTTGAGTTGGCACTGATTAGGTCATAAACTGCTGAGTTAGTACCAATGTGGCTGGATTATGATGATAAAAGTTACTGGATGTTGAATTGGTGCTGAGGATGAGTGCACTGATTTTGTATATACTGTACTGATATCTGTATAAACTAGATGTTGTTTAATATTCAATCTTTATCAACAGTTAGTTTAGTTTTTCAGTTTATTAAATACCCAAGCAAAGAGGGGATGTGTTCTTAATGCAGATTGTTGCATCAGCACTCCAATATCACTTTTCAAAGTAGTCACAGCCAACTCAGAACTTATCAGGATACAATAAAACAGAGGTGTGTCTCCCAATACATTCTGCACTTTCAGAATGATTGCTGGTTGGTTTTAAAGCTATTCACTATTAGCTTGAAATCTGCATTCCTAAAAGTACCTTCTACTGCCCTTCCTACTCACATTGCAAGTGCCTTATTTATTTTACACAACATAGTGTTTAGTTAAACATAAATAGTACAGATCTATAGCCTGCTACGTACGTAGCCAGTAACTGTCAATACAGGAGTAGAGTTTTCAAATCACACGGGTAAATACTTACACGGATGATAAATCTAATGGCTGCACACCCAGAAGTGGCCATAACTTTGGCGCTATTAGGGACCAGATTAAACAGAGTAGGCACAATGGCTTCTGCGCCATGGTCAAACTTGTTTCCCAGCACTGTTGAAAGATGGCTGTAAGGAATTAAAATAGCTGGTTACTACAAGCAATTCACTATCTCAAGAATTTTAGCTGTCCTCTGAAATCAGACTATTGCTTCCATTTCCAAAGCCACTCAGTCGTGACCTTACAACAAACCACAGGATTTGAATCCACAGCTCTATAAACTCTCTGAAAAATGAACCACTGTCCACAAGACTTTGAATCACTCTTCTACTCCAAAAAGCCATTTATCTTTGGATTCATATCATATACTTTTTATACACTTTTATGGTAAACCAATCTACATGAAAACTACAATCACAGTCAGGAATCATTCTTTGTCCAGATAACAATGCGTGATGAAAGTGTTCAAGACAGATGGCAATGACAGAAGCCCTGAGCTCTTTCAATTAAGTAAAAAGAATTGCACTAATATATAGTACATCAACTAATTACATCAAGATACAGTTTTTGCCCAACATACACACAGGTTTCTTCAAAATCTGGCTGTATGGAGGCATTGCATTTAGCTGTGTACATTTGCTTCACTAGTCAAATTCAATTTTAAAAAATATTTTGGGCTATCACAGAGGTACTATATTGGCACTAGGCAAAAGGTAAATCTGAATCTACTGCTACATTTTGGGGGAAATTGTGGATTGATAAAATGAGTACCCAGTTTGTTGGAAGGCAAAACTGTTATATGCATAAATGTGTTATCAGCCGCCTAAGAGTGCTCTAGCACTATGAACCAGTATGTAAGTCAAGACAATAAATAAATAAACTGGCAAGAACTTTTGACTCCCAATTATTTCTCAACAGCAGCAACACTATTGGCCCCTCAGCCATAAATTGTGCTGGTGAACTGATTTAATCTTGGAGCAACCGGGATTGGAAATTTACATGAAAGAACATAGGGCTCTGTAAAGTTCTGCATTCAGAACAAATTTCTCAAAATCCTTTAGATCTACTTATATGCCCCTTACGTCACATTATAGTCAGTTAGTCAAATTTACCCATAAGAAGACATTTTCAGGTCACTTAGCCTGTACTTACGCTACTGTAATGCATGCTTCTCTAACCACTTGTGATCGGAGATCTTTCGCGGATAATTTAAATGCTCCATCTAACAGTCGCAAATGCTGGAAAAAACAGTCATATTGTGCAGCTCCAGCAACAAGCAACGACCGGACTTTCTTGAGCTGGGGGTAGGGTGGGGAGAGAGAAGAATCGGAATATTAATCATTTCTGAATCCAAACATACTGGACACAGGTAATGGCATAATAAATATATAAAATAACACATTAAAATTGTGTTACCGCATTGGCTCGTTGATCCCAGTCATGCTTATCATCTGACAAGATTTCCCTGATTTTATTTAGAGTTTCTTCAAGTTCACGACTTGAATAGATCTGAAAAATAAAATTAGATGAGATTACGTATGAGACTTGCGATGTGAATAGTTCAAATTAATTCAAGCAATCAAACCAACAAAGGCAACCCATTTTTAATCTCTTATCTAGATGCTGATACACTCAATTAATCTAGGTAAAATTCCTAAATGCCGTCCAGGAATTCAGTTTAAATTTAAGCCTCCTCTGTGTTGCAGAGCTATCTTTAAATTCTGCAAAGTTTTTTTCTACTGTTGAAAATCTCAATGTTCCCATGTTAAGGCCTGCAAGGAGCTTACTTCCACATATGCATTCCAAACCAAACATGGCTTGATTTGCTGTCTCTCAAGAGTTAAGAAGCTCAGACTTCTCTAGCCACCACTATCCTATTTTAGTGATCGTCAGTTAATTCAGCTATCTCCTGGTAAAATGCTTCTGTACATCTGATTAAATATGGCAGGTTAAGGAGACCATTCTTTGTCAATCTTCACAGACATATGAATGAAATGCAATAAAAAGGTGTATGACTGGAAATTATCTTGCTTGTATAGGTTTAGAACATTTTAGGGGTTCATAGTTAACATCAAAAAATCTAGAAACAGGGAATGGAAAATAGATTTTCCAGACTTTAAAGTAAATCTAGTTCACAACTTATTTTTCAGACACCAAATAAATACTGCAGTATACATGTATACTATTTTATTGAATGAGTTTTAGTAACAAAAGCTCAAGCATAAAACTGAGCAAGGAATGGGAGATAGCATCCCCCAAGAGAAATATACAATAACATATAATGGATTATGAATGACAAACAGAATTAAATGTGGCATACTTGAAATACTATAACTGTATGCTGTCAAGTCACTTCAGATTTATTTTAAGGCACCGAGTACTCAGAAGTGGTTTACCATTTCCTTCTTCTGAGGGTGCCTTGCAAATATGCAGTTTACCCAAGGTTACATAGTCTAGTTCTTATACACTTGTATTAAAAAAAAACCTTGCTGGCCACCAACAGAGGGCAATATAACACAATGCTTGTTTTACTACCTCATAAATTACAATAATTAAATAATTAATTGATAGTACTATTAAAAAACATGTTTTTTGAAATGTTTTCAGTGTGTAAGACCTTTTTTAATAATAAAGCATGAAACTTTGCAGTTAAAAATAATTCCAAGTAAAAAAGAATTGACATAGTGTGGTCCCACCCCAATAACTACAACAGTAATTAAAAGATTACAGTTACATTGGAAAAAGAATGACACCACTTTTTTATTAAACCAGCATGTGTGCCAGTTTTTTCTGCTTCCTTTTTTCTTCCACCTTGAATGTTGCTGAAACTGCAACTGCCATAATATACCCACTATGGCAGTTCTTGTGGGTGGTAGTGGTAAGGGGGAGTATATGGCTGCCCAGCTCCTGACCCCCTGAGGAGGAGATGAAAGAAGATTGGTTGGGGTCAGATAGTCAGCTCAAACTGTCCAGTTCCAAATTTTGCAGAAAGATCTCCACAGACATTGAAGCACTAACAGTGAACAGGAAAAGGGGGAAAGAGACTGGGGTAAGGGTCCCCAATGCCCTCTGAACTCCCAATTATGCCATATTCCCTCAACACAGAGGGACACTTAGATCAGCTTGTCTTTGTGGTAGAGGAATTCTGGCTCTCTCTCCCTCATTAAAGGTGGTTACTGCCTGTGCCAGGCTGAAATTCAACAGTCAGCAAGAATTGGGTCCAAATTATCCCTCCACAGAAAGATTCAGGACAGGAATCACCTAGAATTCACCTTACAAAACCACACATGGAAGTGTACAATAGGTCTGATATCTATTGTATTAGTGCTAAGACTAGGATGTGCCATAACACCAAACTTCTCCAGCCAGTATAAAACAGTATTAAAAATAAATGTAAGGATTGAAAGGTCTAGACACCCATGAAGGTGATAATGTGGAAAGCAATATAAGGGGAATATTGTCTGGATGCTGTGGAATTTGCGTTATGAACTTGAAAGGTTACTAAATATCCCACCTAGAAGAGCCCCAAGTAAAACTGCAATTTAATTGTAAAATATATTACAACACCTTCATTACTGAAAATGAAAATTATCTACAAGCAATTAATTACCAGTTGCTAGTTATTCATAATTACTTGTTTCCAAGCACTGGTGTAGTTTGGCAGATGCCATGCAGACAGACCTATGAAGTTCAAGGAGGGCCCAAAACATCTCCTCTTTAATGAAAAGACAGCTTTCCTTTACTCTCTGAATTATCTACTAGCCAGGCAGTTCAACATCTGTGCAGATATTAGGCAAAATCCTATTGGTGTAAATTTACACTAATGGAAAGCAATGGCATCACTTCTGATGCTGGTAACATTTAATTTAAATTAATTGAAAGCTTCCTATCTACTTGTTTCAGGTTCTGAGGTTCTCTCAGGCTCCCTTTTGTTCATAACAAAAAGGTGGAACAGATCATATATGCACGAGTCAAACACACTGACCTAAATCCAACTGTTAGTCCCATCTAGAGTAAACTGAATGTATCAAGTAAACTTAAGTATTGATTTAAGGTAAAGGTTCCCCTTGACATTAAGTCCAGTCGTGTCCGACTCTAGGGCGCAGTGCTTATCCCCGTCTCCAAGCCATAGGGCCAGCGTTTGTCTGTACAGTTTCCATGGTCACATGGCCAGCGTGACTAGAAAAGGAATGCCACTACCTTCCCACCATGGTGGTACCTATTTATCTACTCGCATTTACATGCTTTCGAACTGCTAGGCTGGCAGGAACTGGGACAAGCAACGGGAGTTCACTCCATTGCGTGGATTGGATCTTACAACTGTTGGTCTTCTGACCTTACAGCACAGAGTCTTCTGCAGTTTAACCTGCAGCACCACTACATCCCATAAGTATTGATTTACTAAATTCCAATTGATTTAATAGGTATATACTTGGGACTAAGAACTGTATTTAAATAATCCATTTATTGGAGTTGGTCATACTGCAGATTTCTGGTGACTTCATCAGCTGCACCCATGTCATGGCTGTTTTAGGAAATTAATTTTTTTCCAATCTCTCCCAGGCTGTTGGGGATTCCTAGGAATCCCTTCTGTCCTGCAGCAGCTTCCGGGAACCAAGGAAGGGGAGGCAGAATGATTTACACCTAGAAAATCACCACTGTTGGAACCAATGATGGCAATTTTCTTGCTTTAAACAATTTCCCCTCCCCATCCGACCTTGGATGAAGACATTCCTTAGGGATCCCTGAAGCCTGGGTAAGGTAGGGAAACTTTTAATTTCCTGAAATGGCTGCAGCATGGTCATGGCTGATGGGATCACTGGAGATCTGCAGCATAACTTGTGCCAACAACATTCCGGACAATGTTACATACAGTGCTTCTATGAAACAGAGTATGGTAACTTGGAAATGCTTCTCAGACAGATGAGACTTCTAAATGGCATTATTTCTGCAACTGGCATATTTAAAAAAAATTAATGGTTTAAATATGTGATGAATATTTTATCAATTAACCAAGGACGGGGGGATATTCTGGACCAATCAAATACTAATTCCAACCAGGCTAAAAACATTATCCTTGTACCACACAGTTTCCACAACACAGAACTTTAAAATCAACATTGCACATTAATACCAATATGCAAGTTTGAAGAATTTAGCTAAACCCTGGGAACTTGGTGGATAAACCTAGAAATGCAAGCTTAAAAATATGAAATTTTATGTGGTGTATTTCTTTCCAAAATCCCATTCAGAATGTCAATCTTCCTCATAAATTACTAACATTGTATATTATATATATTATCTATTTTTCTATAGAATTTTGGTTTATTTATGGCATTTTCTTTATTATTAGGACAACATTTAAGCATCCATACAAGATGCAACAGAATATCATCAATACTGTTTAAGGTTTAATTTCATATCTTTTATAAAGGCCATTCAGGGCTAATGAAAATCAATTCTGATATGAATAAACAAAAAAGCCAAGATGTATATTGTAGGGCCGGTGGGGAAGCTTTGAAGCTCCACTGCGCCTAGTATTAATTAGAAGTATGGAATTTATATGATTTAATATGTAAACATAATGAGCTGTACTCAGATATGAATGCATGCAAAGCATGCTGCTTATATACCACCCTGTAGTGCTTCAAGCACTCTCTGGGCAGTTTACAAGTTAATTATGCAGGCTACACATTGCCCCTCCCCCCCAGCGAACTGGGTACTCATTTTACCGACCTCAGAAGGATAGAAGGCTGAGTCAACCTTGAGCCGGCTACCTGGGATTGAACCCCAGGTCATGAGCACAGTTTTGGCTGTAATACGGCAGTTTAACCACTGTGCCACAAGGCTCAGTGGTTAAAGAAGAGAAAAAGCTTCCTACACTATGATCCAGCAGAGACTCCATGCTGGAACACTCCTTTAGCAAACCACCTTTTGCCCTGCAAATACTAGTACCATGCAACACACTGCTTTGCAGGACTGCAGATACTAGGGAGCTGCAGAAGGGAAAGGACATCAGTGAAAAGGAACCCTAACTACATGCATCAGGTTGCACAGTTCAACTCTATCCAACACAATAGCTGTTGATAAAACAAGTACAGTACCATTAAGATCCTCAAACTTATTAGGTGTGGTTTCACCAAAGAAAAGTTTCCTGGTTTCTTCGTCGCAAAAAGAATCTTGAAACATGTGTGCCACACATGCTGCCTCCACGGTTCATGTTTCACTTCTTTCCCCTCACAATTACCCACATTCTTACCAACATCTACTCTGTGATTGTATATGTGCATGTTATAGAGTGGTAGAATATACCAGATGGGCGGGATATAAATCAAACAAATAAATAAATAAATAAAATAATATATACAGTGGTGCCCCACATGATGACGATAATTCGTTCCGTTAAAATCGCTGTACAGCGAAATCGTCATGCGAAAAAAAAACACTGGAATGCATTGAAAACCGGTTAATGCATTCCAATGAGGGAAATACCTGATTGTCCTGCGAAGATCCTCCATAGGGCGGCCATTTTGCAATCGCTGTCTTGTGAAAATCGATCCGGAAAACAGCAGGGAGCCATTTTGCGAACCGCTGATCAGCTGTTTTAAATCGTCGTCTTGCGAACAATCAGTTCGCGAAGCATGGACCTAATCGTTGTTAAACAAAAATCCCCTATAGGAAACATCGTTTTGTGATCGCTATAGCGATCGCAAAAAAGTCATCGTCAAGCGATTTTGTCATTGTGCGGGGTAAGCGTCTAGCGGGGCACCACTGTATAAGGTTGTTATATGTTAAAGAATATAAAACTAACATAGAAAACAATTGGCGAGGGCATAAATAACTGTATGTGTTGATCACACACAAAGGACCAAAATGATACTGCACAAAAGAATGATGAAAAATACTGTTTTAGAAGACAAAAATACTGTATTCAATGCAGGAATGAAACTACTACTTTGATGGTATGTATCTGTTATGTTTCAAACTCATTTTGTCCCCCAAAGTGTATCGGGGATTGGTGAATCTGTCTAGCTCGATCTCACCAAAGTTCTTTTTTCTACTGCCATGTCTATTCTCCCTTTGTAGGGGGTTTTCCTGCATTTTTCAAGCAATCATTTCTTCCCAAAAATCATGTGTTTTTGTGTGCTTTTTTCAAATCTGTATATGCTCCCATGCAGTTTTTCAACAAATTTTGTTTTGTTTTGCAAAATAGATTGCACCTTGAAAATGTACAGGTTTCATGCACAAACTGCTTTCTGTCCTTATCTGATTCCAGAATTGGATGATCTCATATAAAAATGTGAAGTCAACATATTTCTCACCCATCATTATTTTCTACCTTATGACAACTTTGGTGTAGTGTTGTGAAAATGCACTTAGGGCATAATATAGCCAAAAGAAGCTTTTTCTTAGTTATAACATTGTTCACTACATTGTCTAAGCCAACATTAAGCTAAATAGTAAATCTTAATTGTGTAGTAAAAACAAGGTAACGTCAAACCCCAGTTTATGAGGCTGGTTTGTTTTCATTAATCACAGTTCAGATAGTTCCTTTGATGCTAACTCAATATGTAGTGCTAAATCTGAACAGACTTATCACCTTCATTTGTAAAGCAAAATTGCTTTTGATTTTTTGAGTGAAACATACATGAGCCATGTTTCTCTAGGCTGACCAAACAAGCAGTACATTCATGTTATAAACACAAGTGGTTCACTGCAAGAATGAGTCTTCAGTTTTCTTCTTTGTATTACAAAGAAGAAAGAGCTGGAAAGATCCTGATCCTCACCTTGTCCAATGCCCTGCTAAAGACAGAATCCTCCACACATGCATTTAAGCCACTTAGTGATTAATCCACCTTATCATGGCTGCCGTATGGCACAGTGAGAGAGCAGATGTGGTCAGCGACTTATGCTACAGATTCTACACTAATTAAACTCTAGAAATACAAGTCACAACAGAAAGTTTAAGCAAGTGGGTGTATTATGAAAGCCTCACAACTCTACCCTAGCTACCCTAGACACTAGTCAATCTAGTTTACAGGACTACTGCTTCCTAATCCCAAATATATTTCTCACTAAAACTCCTCACCTGCATGGCTAGCCAAATTTAAGCAATATTTTAAAACACATTTGTGCATTTGACAACACTTAGCCCCCTTTTCCATTGATGCTTCAAAGCAATTCATGGCTTTTGTGCTTGTGTCTTCTGAAGTTTCAAAGAAATCCCAGGCCTCATGAAGGATCACATGCTTTCATTAAATACTGCCAGCGAGTTAGCATTCATTTGTTAAAATGAATGTTGCACTATAAAATGTGGAACTATCACTATTAAATCATGTTGTTACTTGCCATCAAATACTTTCCAACTTACAGTGATCCAACAGTGTTTGAGGTGTATGACATGTTCATGGAGTAGTTTACATTGCCGCCCTATGTTGAGTGTTCATGTCTCCTGATTCCTAGCCTGACTCTCTATCCACTATACTACATTTAATCTTATTAATATTATATCATATCAAGAACATAAGTAAATGATGCAACTCTACCTGTACAGTAGGAACATCTGTAAATGCTTTTATGAAATCATCTTCATCAACAGCACCAGCCCCTCCTTCCTTTGTGGTGCCTGTATTAAAATATATATATATATATATTAGCTGGGATTTCAATCCACCAATTGAAAAGAATAAAAATTAATCAAGGCTGACGATGAAAATTTAAAAACAAAATGCTTGTTATTTAAAATATTTAACTGCTATAATATAGAGAGCATTGTTATGCATTAACAAGGGCATTAGCAACCAAAACCAATCTTCTGCGATAACAAGTTCTGCACCAAGCAAAATTGATTGTTGTCACCCATAACTATGCAACTGTGGTTAAAGATTTTAAAATGTACTAAGGAATTCATCTCATAAACACAGGATTATGTTGGTTAAACAGAGTAGATCATTTAAAAAGACAAAAAGATGCATTAGATGAGACTATGAAATGCCAGAAGTATATTGTACCTTCTTACATTGTGCAATTTTCACCAGTTTAATCTGAGGAATTCAACAGCAGTGATTAGGATGAAAAATGAGGAATAGGCAAGAGTGAAGAAGGCAAAAAAACAAATAAACATGGCAACCTGCACAACTAGCATAAGGTAAGGAGGTGGTGATAACCTGTGTGGGCGTTCCAAAAGATGAATCTTTAAGATCTTTAGAATTCACAGGATTTAGACTTGATCCAAGCATGTCCCCATTTTCTGCACTTAATACTGCCACATATGGTTAGATTTAATGTATCATGGGAAGTATAAGGTCAGTGGCTTAAGAAGCAAAGGAAAGCATGCTGCTTATATACTTCCCATAGTGCTTACAACACCCTCTGGGCAGTTTACAAGTTAGTTACTCAGGCTACACATTGCCTACCCAGTAAGCTGAGTACTCATTTTACCAACCCTGTAAGGACGGAAGGTTGAGTGAACCTTGAGCTGGCTACCTGGGATAGAACCCCAGGTCATGAGCACAGTTGTGGCTGCAGTACAGCAGTTCAACCACTGTGCCACAAGGCTCAGTGTAGGAAGAAGGTTTGTCACTCCTGAACAGTAACAACTTATTGACTACATCTGCACAAAATGTTAAGATAAGCATGCTGCTAGAGTCAATGAGTATGTACGGCCAAATGGACAAGTGGTGTACTATTGGTTTCTCTTGCAATTGGGAGCAGCCAGACTAATCAGAAATTGAGCAAGGTAAAAAAGCTTGATGGTACAACTTCACCTTTTCTTGTTTATTTTGCGTTTTTATAAGTTAAGAGTTTGAAGCCAATGTATGAATATATATTTCGCATTTACATCCCACCTCTCTCCCAAAAGAAGATAGCTTATAATTGCAGATTTACTACAGTAGAGGCAATTCAGGGTCTTATTCTAAACTTTTCTGTTGCAGTAAGTTCCTAGTCATCTTAGTTATTCATGGTAGCAGGTAAAGTCAAGTGGGAGTGACTGGGTACCATGCATAAATATGCTGCTGCTCATGTGCAATCTGTAAAAATTCCTAGCACATTTTGCATCACACTTTGTGCAAATACAGGCATTGTACAAGGCGTACTTATGGCTATTGCAATTCTTACACTGAAAGTGCTTTCATTTAATTGAACTACGTATTTTAAGGTTTTAAAAAGCAATTTTTTTGCTAGTACCAACTTAATGCTAATAATTTACCACAATAGCTTTAAACTGAGTTCCAAGCCAAAAGCCTACCTAGCACAAAATTCTGGTCTCCCGGTAGCAAACCAACGTGACGGGGGAAGTGCACCAACAGAACATGCCTTAGTTATATCACTTTGGATTACTGTAATGTGCCATCAGTGGGTCCAAAATGCCCCACCCAAATTGTTAACTAGAGATTGTTACAGGGATCACGTTGTCAAGTTTGAAAAAAAATACTACAGGTATAAATAGCTGACATACTGAGGAGACTAAGAGGAGCAAAGATAAAAAATTAAGTCACTTTAAATGCAGTTTGGAATTGCTGGTTAACACATAAAACACATATAAGGCCATTTCTTCACAAAGAAGTCAATAAAAGAAAATATTTGACAGATGAATGAAGAACCCAACAGGCCCATCTTTCAAAAATGTATAAATATTTGAACCCTGGGAAATGCGTCAATACATTTTACTTAAGTATCAAAAACGAAGGTACCATTTTCCTAAAGTTGGAAACAATGTTGCCAACTTCATGAAAGCAAACAGGACCTACATCAATGAAGATCTGTATTAAACAAGAGCATGCAGTAATTTCACATAATTGGAAAACTTAAGTTAGCAAAGAGAATTGTTTATAGTTGAAAAGGGGTTTCCTAATTTTTTAAAAAATGTGTTTTTAGAATGGTTTTAAACTATTTTTGTCTGCTAATTTTTAATCTGACATCTGTTTAATTCTTTTTAAAATATTATAATAATTTATTGATCTTAACTTTTTAAATATTTTGTTTCAATACTCTAAGCTGCCTTGAATTCTCTTACAGAAAGGCAGTGTATATTTTAAATAAATAAATGATAAATAAACTTAAGTAAAACTACATGTTCCACCTCATGTTTCTCAATAATTGATATAAAAGGTAATTTCATTCTGTCATGGGTGGTGACTGCCACAATGATTAGTTGCCACTGATGGCTCTAATGTCCATGCCTTTGTCAAAACTATTTTGAAATTGTCCTAACTAGTAACCATCACTACACTTTGTGGCAGTACATGTTACATTATAACTATACACGGTATAATAAAATTGTTCCTTTTATCTCTTCTGAGTCTCCCACCATTGAGTTTCAGTAAACAGCTCCAGGCTCTTACTAGGATATAGCTAGGGATGAGAATTATGAGTCTCCTGGCCTACATGTGACCACGTTCACTTGTTCATAGAGAGGAAGACGTCCAGGAATGGCAATTTGCTCTAAAAAACTATGCCTTATTTCACTCAAATAGGGAAAGAAATCAAAAGAAAACACCTAACTTCCAGTTCCATTAGGGGTAGCTGATGTAGCCCATGGTGGATCCTGGGGGGCCATACATTGGCCCCTGGATTCTTGGGCTTGCTCACTTCTGGCCAAAGCAAAAAGATGATAAATAGCAGTATACATAGCTGGAATACAGCTGGGATGTCAGTTTGCCTCAGCGAATGAAGTTACAATGAAGTACCAGAAACACTCACTTGATTTAAGTGCACATGAACATTGTGTTCACATGGCACTGTTAATATGATGCAATGGTCAAATTTGACAGGGGAACATAGATTTTGATGCATAAGCATTTATCTGAGAAAATATGTTTATTTGCATGTTTGCAGTTTCCTAAATGCAGAACATATGAAAGCGACCCCTTAGCAGTTTTACTGCACAATAACGTAATATTTATGCAGAGTTCCCTAGATCTTTTGCAATTTTAATAACCACTGTAAAAGAAAGAAGTGAACACCCAGTCAATTATAAACAGTGGTGAACATCACAGTAAAACAGTAACACATCAGAAAATAGGAAATGCTTTAATGTAAAAATTAGCAACATTTATTAGCTCAAAATCAGTCTTAACCTTAATAAACAATTATTTTAAAAATTCTGTATATTAAGAGGCCACTTCATACACATATCTTCAAGAAATCCATCTGGCAAATTAAACATGTTTGTAGCATGTGTGATGAAATATCACTGTGTATGCTCCAAACTTCTATAAATAAAAAGAGTAGCATTATTTTAATACTTAATGGATACACACTGGATGCATGTTTACTTACATGAGAGCTCATGAAATATTTAAATTTGAAAGAAGAAAGGTTTTCAGCTTCACAGTATTTCTTCTTCCATTTTAAACTAATGCCTCAAAACACAGATGCATGCCAATAACAAATGACATATTTAGAAAGTGTGTTTTGTACATTTTAAGAGATTAATTTCTCAGAAATGCCATAACAGACATTATTTTTCACTTCCTTCAAATACTTCCCACACAAACTACCAGTCTTGTGAAAACTTTGTTCAGTTAAACAAATTCTTGTCCATCCCCCATTATCTTCATTTCTTCTTTTCTTCTGTTTTCTCTTCTATGTAAGTCCCATAGGGCAGAGACTTTTGGGGTTTTTTTTTGTTTCTCTTTAAATCACTGTACATATTAAGGGTAAATAATTAACATCTCATACTGCTCCTTATACAACTTTCAGACTGGCAACAATCTAGATTTTCTTTTCAATACTGATTTACTCGATATTACAAACACCTCTGAAAACAAGCATACTAATTTTAAGTGGAAGACAATAATATATGGTTACAATGGCTACATGACCATGCCAATTTCTTTTTCAAAGTGTTTTTGATATTTTTTAATACACACTTAATGGGTTGGAGCTACGATGCCATAAATATAACTGCAGAAATTGAGAGCTTTCACTCATTAACAAACTGCTGTGCAAACTCCTGGTCATGTGTTAGTTGCAAGCCACCATAGTACATTCAAAATTAAATCTAAGATAGAATAAACAGAGGCTAAAGGCTCTGTGTTCTACCACAGGTGTGCTCCATGGTTGGTGTATGCCCAGAATGCCAGAATGACAGCTTAAGAAACTGCTTTTCAATATCCTGCTCATCCACGTTGTTTTAATTTGCATCTTCTGCAATTTTAATGTATTTTGTTTAATTTTAATGGTTTTAAAGTGGGGTAGGTTTATTTTATTTTATTCTTTCTAAAAGTTGCCTTAAGTGCTATCTTGTAGTAGAAAGACAGGGTATAAATGCATTTAATAGCAACATCATCATCCCTCACTTTTAACAATGGCATGGGCATTGATGAGAACCAACACAAAGAACTAGTCACATATATAGGGCTTCTCACTATCACCACATAAATGCATTAGAATACATGTAGAACTGAAAATAAGAGATATATTTGCCACTTAATTTATTAGTGAATCTTCTGGGACAAGACACTTCTGCAGTACAGAGATGGAAAACCTCTGATCCCAACAACCATTTCTAAGTACATCTGAAATATGAGGATAATACTGGCCTGTTGAAGACATAGAAGGATGACTTCTACACTATTCTTTGGACCCAGATTTAGGTGAATTAAACTGGGCTGGTTGCTA